TGGTGGAGGCGGAGGAGGAGGAAGAGGAGGAGGAAGAGGAGGAGTTGAGGTTTCGAATGAAGAAACCTTGAGTTCCGATTCGACCCGAAAGGGGAGGTGGCAGGAGGAGGAGGAAGAGGAAGAGGAGGATGAGAAGGACGAGGGGGGAGAAACGAGGTGGAGGAGGAGGAGGAGGAGGGTGAGGAAGAGGAAGTTCAGGATCATAATGATGATGATGCTGATGATGCTGTTGATGATGATGATGATGATGATGATGATGATGATGATGATGATGATGATGATGATGATGATGATGGTGATGGTGATGGTGATGGGATGGTGATGGTGATGGGATGATGGTGATGATGATGGTGATGATGATGATGATGCTGATGATGATGATGATGATGATGATGATGATGATGCTGATGATGATGCTGGATGATGATGATGCTGATGATGATGATGATGATGATGATGATGAATGAGGATGATGGTGGTGTGGTGGTGGTGGTGGTGGTGGTGATGATGATGATGATGATGATGATGAGATGATGATGATGATGATGATGATGATGGTGATGATGATGATGATGATGATGATGAGGAGGAGGAGGAGGAGGAGGAGGAGGGGAAGGAAAAGGAGGAGGAGTAGGAGGAGAAGAAGGAGGTGGGGGGGGGAGGAGGTGGGAGGACAAGGAGGGCGAGGAGGACGACGAGGCGGAGGAGGAGGAGGAGGAGTTGGAGGAGCAAGAGGAGCAAGAGGAGAAAGAGAAAGAGGAGGAGGAGGAGGAGGAGGAGGAGGAGGAGGAGGAGGAGGAGGAGGAGGCGGAGGCGGAGCACACGACGACACCGTAGTGCTTCTACATCCTACCGCCCACCTGGCTACTAGACGGTGAAGGTGAGTCCTTCCACCGAGGAACCGAAGAGCGGGCCTACTGCTGGCTAGCTGGAGGCCTAACAAGACCAGGGGGGGCATTTTCAGACAGCTGCTCTTACTAGGCCAGCCAGTACCGACCTGGCCAGCCTAGTATTTGCATACAGTATACACCAGCCGTTTCTCTGCACGCTTCACAATACATTTTTCCGCCCAGCCCGTCTATCTGCCCACTTATGTCTACCTGCAGTGATGTGCGCATTGGATTCCCGACCCTCCTGCGTTGGGTTCTCGTTTTGAATATAGCACTGCGGTCTCCACCGCTCGCCCCACTCCGCCTCTCTTGCCTCCTCCTCCTTCTCTCCTCTCTTGCCGTCGACAGAGCCTCGGCGCTGAGGACCTCGCCATCCCTGGGGGGGCTGCGATGAGCGAAACTGTCGCCACTTTCGAGGGCTGGGGGGGTCAGCATAGTGGGTACTCGCCGCAAACTCAGATTAGACCCCGCCATCCCTGGGGGGCTGCGGTCTGTAATCTGTCGCCACTTTCGAGGGCTGCTAGGGGGCTAGCATAGTGGGCACTCGCCGCAAATTCAGGCCAGACCTCGCCATCATTGGGGCGCTGCGATCTGCGAAGCCGTCGCCACTTTCGAGGGCCGCTGGGGGGGCAGCATAGTGGGCACTCGCCGCAGGCTCAGATTAGACCTCGCCACCCCTGGGGGGGGGGGGCTGCGATCTGTGAGCGTGTCGCCACTCTCGAGGGCTGCTGGGAAGCCAGAATAGCGGGTACTCGCCGCAGGTTCAGATTAGACCTCGCCGTCTTTGGGGGGGGGCGCGATCTGTGAACGTGCCGCCACTTTCGAGGGCTGCTAGGGGTGGTCAGCATAGTGGGCAATCGCCGCAGATCCAGGTTAGACCTCGCCACCCCTGGGGGGCTGCGATCTGCGAAGCCGTGGCCACGTTCGAGGGCCGCTGGGGTGCGGCCAGCATAGTGGGCACTCGCCGCAGATTAAGGTTAGACCTCGCCATCCCTGGGGGGCTGCGATCTGCGAAAGTATCGCCACTTTCAGTTGCCGCTGGGGGGGGGCAGCATAGTGGGTACTCGCCGCAGATTTGACTAAACCTCGGCATGCTTAGGGGGCTGCGATCTGTGAAAAGGTTGCCCGTTTCGAGGGTTGCTGGGGGGGGGCAGCATACTGGTTACGTGCCGCAGATTCAGGTAAGACTCCGCCAGTCCTGGATCCTGGAAGGTTGCGATCTGCGAAGCCGTCGCCACTTCCGAGGGATTGCTGTGGGGGCCAGCATAAGGGGGGCGGTCGCCGCAGACTGAAAGTCGACCTCGCCATCCCTGGGGGCTGCGATCTGTGAAAGCGTCGCCCTTTCGAGGGCTGCTGGGGGGCGCTGCATAGTGGGCACTCGCTGCAGATCAGATCAGACCTCGCCACCCCTGGGGGTCTGCGATCTGCCTGTCGCCACTTTCGAGGGCTGCTGGGGGGCCAACATAGAGGGTAACTGCCGCAGATTCAGAGTAGAACTCGCCAACCCTGGGCGGGCTGCGATCTGCGAAGGCGTCGCCACGTTCGAGGGCTGCTGGGGGGGGGCAGCAGAGTGGATATTCGCCACGTCCCGCGCAGACTCATAATCGATCTTCCAATCCCTGGGACGCTGCGATCTGCGAAACTGTCGCCACGTTCTAGGATTGCTGGGGGGTCCAGTGGAGAGACGTCTTACGCAGATTCAGACTAGACCTCGCCATCCCTGGGGGTCTGCGATCTGCGAAACAGTCGCCACTTTCGAGGGCCAATGAGGGGTCCAGCGGAGTAACGCCCTACGCAGATTCAGACTCGACCTCGCCATCCCTGGGGGTCTGCAATCTGCGAAGCAGTCGCCACATTGGAGGGCTAGTGGGGGTCCAGCGGAGTAACGCCCTACGCAGATTCAGAGTAGACCTTGCCATCCTTGGGGGTTTGCGATCTGCGAAACAATCGACACTTCTGAGCGCTAGTGGGGGTCCAGCGGAGTGACGTCCTACGCAGATTCAGATTAGACCTCTCCATCCCTGGGGACTGCTATCTGAGAAGCCTTCGCCACTATCGAATGCTGCTGGTGGTCCAGCGGAGTGACATGACGCCCTATTCAGATGCAGACTAGACCTCGCCATCCCCGGGGGTCTGCGATTTGTAAAAAACAGTCGCCGCTTTCCTTGCCATCCTTGGTGGGCTGCAATCTGTGAAACCGTCGCCATTTTCGAGGGCTCCAGAAGGCGGCGGAGGAGGAAAAGCGGAGGAGGAGGAGGAGGAGGAAGCGGCGGAGGAGGAGGGGGATAACGAGGGGGCGGAGGTGGAGGAGGAGCTGGGGGAGGAGGTCCGGCTCGTGCTGCCGCGGCGGCGGCAATCACCGAGACGTGCCAGCCCTGAGGCGAGGGTGCCCGTCGGCCCTCTAACCACTCCCGATTCCTGACCACGAGCATGGCTCGCGTGCCCTTGCCTTGCGGCTTGTGCCGTCGCTACTGTTTCTTCGAGGTTGCCTAGCGGGCCCTTTTAACAGTTTCCTTCACGCATGCTGTCGGCCTGCAGCCCCTTTTACCGGTGGCAGAAGAAGCACGCCTGCCCGGCTTTCTTTGCGTTGCGCGAGCATTACCGAGGCGCGCGGGCCTTGAGGTGAGATTGCCCGTCGGGCCCTTTAATCGTTGTCGATCCTTGACCGCGAGGAATGCTCTCGTGCCCTTTCCATGCGGCGTGTGCCATCGTTACCGTCCTTCGAGGTTGCCCATCGAGCCCTCTAACAATTGCCATCACGCATACTGTCGGCTGGCAGCTTTTTACCGGTGGCAGAAGGAGCGCGCTTGCCAGACGAGTTGTCTTTCGGGCCTGCGCATTTTTCCGCATGTCCGTTGTGCGCGCCATGCGTGCGCCCCCAGGTGCCATGCGCATTCTTTGACCCAGTTGTCCGTCGGAGTTGCACATTTATTTGTCCGTTCGGGGCATGTCAGTCCTGCGCGAAGATTTGATAAGGGGAGGCGGAGTTGCGCATCTATTTGTCAGTCGGGGCATGTGGAAGAGTAAGGGGAGGCGGATAAAGGGCCATTCTGGCCCGGGCTGGGCCCCCCGCCGCCGCGCGCGCGGGCCCTGCGGGCCGGCCCCATGCCTCCCGTCCGCCGCCAGGTGCAGAGCGAGCGGACAGGGGCGATTTCTCACGAGATCAAAAAGAGCCGACAGGAGTCGAGACCGTGGCCCATCCGAGCCGCGGTTTGCCGTGTTTCTTACGCGGCCAGGAAGGGCAAACAGATTGATCTGAAAGACTGGCGGACAATTGCCGCCAACCTCGGCAGATCTGACGCCGTTCCTTATGAGAAAAGTAGACGTGGGCAGCAGGCGAACACTAAATATATCGTCGTCCAGGTGCCGACCTCCCGAGACACTAGCGACAGTGGAGACGTGATCTGCTACAGCTCAGAGCAGCAGGAGGCCGATCTTCGGCAGCAGTCGCATCAAGAATGGCAGCAGTCGCATCAAGAATGGCAACAGCCGCGTCAAGAATGGCAGCAGCCGCATCAAGAACAGCAGTCTTTTCCTTTCTGGGCCCTTCGCTGGCTGCCAGACTTGGGCGAAGATCCAACCCTGAACAAGAGCGCGCGAGAAGCGAAGGCAGAACCAGATTGCGCGCAAAGTGAGGATCAAACCAACACTTCCTCACCGCCACCTGCGGCTGTCCCCGATCTGTGTGAGAAGGCAGGCAGTGGCGGCCCATGCGATAAGGCAGGCAGTGGCAGCCCCAGCCACAGGACATGCACTGGCAGCTCTGGACATGCCTGGTCAGCCACAGGGCATGACCGTGGACAGAAAGAGGCTAAGACAGGGCCTGTGCGCTCCAGCTCCATCCCTGTGGTCAGCGTCTGCGAGAAGCAGGGGGCGAAGGAAGAGCCCGACGTGAACAGCTACAGCGTCGCGAGCGGGGCGGCCGCGGGCAGCGGCGCGAGGAGCCGGCAGCGGGCAGTGGCGCGTGAAGAGACGGCAGTGGCGCGAGAAGAGCCGGGCGGCAGTGGTGCGAGAAGAGACGGCAATGGTGCGATCAGGGCGGCCGCGGGCACCATCAGCTGCAGCACGACGAAGTTACAGTTGGCGAATCAACGCATCGGCGGCGCCCAGACGCGTGAGAAGATTGCCGCGGCAGCAGCGGCAATTGGAGCTGCGGCGAGATCGGGTGCGCAGTGGCGATGCACTAGAGGCGGCAGGCATCTGCGCGCCCAACGCGGCCGCTTTCGTCTCCATGGCCGCCGACGACTTCCCTATTCCAGCACGCATCGAGGCGATTTTCGCTGGTGTCGCAACCAGCGCCCACTGGTCCGCGGCCGACGAGGGCGACGCGTCCGAGCACGACGACGCCCGCGGCCAACGCGCGACAGAGGATGACGCCGCCACCAGCCCCAGGACCACTCCTTCCAGGAGGACTCCGACGGCTACCACCTCGAGCACAGCGGCGGTGCGAGGCAGCCTGCGAGAAGCAGCAGGCTGCGACCCGAGGCAGCCAGCGAGACGCAGGGTCTCGTTCGACCTGCGCGGCCACCTCGAGCGGCCCCGGGACCACGGGACCACTCTCACGGGGAGGACTCCGACGGCCGACTCGACGACAGCGACCCCGCGAGCCAGAACGACACAGAGAGCAACGCCACGGACAGCGAGTACGACGGCGAGACCACGTACACCGAGAACCACGACACCCCTGCAGGGCGAGGGGGCGGGCCCTGCGACACCCCTGCAGGGCGAGGGGGTAGGCCCTACGACGACCCGCCCAGACCAGAAGGAGGACGGCCCACCTGGCGGCCAAGCCTCCGCCCCGCTCCGACGGGAACCAGCAGCACGCCAACGGGAACCAGCAGCGCACCTACGGGAACCAGCGGCGCACCAACGGGCACCAGCAGAGCATCGGGCACCAGCAGGGCTTCTTCAACCGCACTGGCGCCCACTGCGCCTCCCAGCACAACCACTTCCTCATCCTGGAGGGCGCCCACCTGAACGGCGAGTTCATCATCGCCGTCGCCCCCTCGTGTGGCGAGCGCGCCGCCCTCCTTAGGTGGAGGAGGCTGGCGGCCACCGAGGGGGGCAAGATCATCGTGTTCGGCTCCCACAGGGAGTACCTCTTCTGAGAGGGGGGGAGGAGGTGGCCCCCCCCTCGACGGCGACATCCTTTCCGGAGGATACAGAGTCGACATCCGAAGGATCCGAAGGGGAGGCGGAGGCGAGTCTACTTATACGTCGGGCCCACAAACGTTGAGCCACCCACCCAGGGTTCAGTGGAACGACGCGGTGCCGTCTTGGGACGCTTTGAGCATTATTTGACGCACTTGTGTCCTTCGAAGTTGTACAATATTCCAACTATCCCTTGTGCAGCGTGCCAAGTATGTGCTTCTGGATGCCACGCGCAATCCTTGACGCATTTGCCCGTCAGGCCTGCAAATTCTTTCATAGCTTCCGCGTGAAAACAATTAACGCGCCTCCGCCTCCAGATGCCGCGCGCATTCGCGGGCGCAATTGTCTGTCAGGCGCTGCCGCTGTTTTGCGCTGACAGAGGGCGGGCAGTTGCCCATCGGGCCTGCAGATTCTTGCATATATTCTTTGTGAATATCACGTGCCCCTTGTATTTAGAAGGGCGCCACTTTCGCAAACTTTCACACAAAACCAGGTTCCCGTTGACTGAGAGTTGCTGTGCCCTTCGGCGCTTGCGGTCGTTTGGACAGTCGTCACCATCGCCAGTGTGTCAACATCACTTCCCAGGTCACCATCCTGAATGGCGCCGCTGCCGCAAATTGCCAAAAACAGGTGTCCCGTCGGCTCAGCGCATCCTCGCTGATTTTTCAAACTCACTTCCCAGGTCACCATCCCGAACGGCGCCTTCACCGCAAATGTTGAAAAGCGGGTGCCCCGCTGGCTCAGAGCAGCGCCGCCCGCAGTCCTGGCGGCGCGCCTGCGGACGGACGTTCAGCTCCCGCACCGAAGGACGCAGGAAAGAGGCGGAAAAGCTGGCGGGCGAGCTCAGTCTCGCTCGCTTGTTACACTAACTACACACAGGTATGATCTTGTGGAACGCTGCGGCGACATGGCGCTACTGCTTTCTGAGAACGTCGGTACTTTCCTGTTTCCCCCCACCGCTCTCATCGTCACCCTATATTCCCCCCTGTCACCCTCTCCATGCTGCTGCTGCTGCCGCGATGGATCCCCGCCCCCCCACAATTCCGTCGTTTTCCTGCCCGTCGTTCCCGCCCCTGTTCTTCTTCAAGCTTGGGGCCCCAATCCTCGTCTTGTCGATCGCTGTCCTGTGAGGCGTGCGACGCGCGCGCATCCCATGTAGCTTGCGCAACAATTCGCCGCGCCTGCACTGTCGTTGTTCCTGCCAATATTGGCCCACGTCACTTTCCACTCGATGCTAATGGGTTGGGGTGCGTCGCAGGATAGTTGGGATGATCATGATGCGGGAAGGGTTGTGGTGATTGAGAGAATTTGCATATGGCCATTTTGGCCTTCGGCGGAGGAGCTTCTGCCGGACTGTGGGCCGCCGTATTTTGCCACCTTCCACCTCGCATTCTTCAGCGCTGCCATGTCGCTTGCTATACGTGTACTGGAGGCGGGGGCTGGTGGTTGGGTCGGGTGGGAAAGGTATGTAAAGGAAAAGCAGCAACATCGACTTCAAGACCCGAGGCCAGCCAGCACGATCTGTGCCGGCCTCACCGTAGTAAGATTAGCCTTGGCCGGATCTCACGGATTCCGGCCTTTTTCAATCACAGCCTCAGCCTGCTAAAGGCCAGCCAGTATCGACCTGGCCAGCCTGTCAGCAAATTTAAGCCCAGCCGTTCTGCTATCACATCGGAACTTTGTACCTCACAGCTTTTGGTCTTTAGTGTCGCTACCTCCTCCTTCTGTTTGCGTCGCTTGCTCTACTCCTCATCACTTTACGTGCACCCTGCAGCACGCATCTGCTGTTTTCCTGCAAGCTTTCATCTACTATGGTGGGTTGGGGAGGAGTTTGTGGAGGAGGTTGGGATATCGACTCGGGTGGGGTCTCTCCTACACTGTACCAGCTTCAGCCACCTTCAGCTGCAGCCTAGCTATTCCGGTGTACCACTCAAACCACGGATGTCGATACAGCCCAGCATTCAGCAGGCCAATTTGCACGTGTAGTTTGACCTTTCCCTCGCTCGGCGTCCTTAATCTGTCATGCGTTTCGATATCGTTTTTGTTTTTCCGCCGTCCTCCTCCCTTCTCGTGCTGCGTGGCGCGCGCATACTCTGTGCCCTTGCGGGCCTCTTTCTGTTGTATTCCTCGGTTGCCTTTCTGTCTACCAGCTGCGCGCGCCACTCCTCAGCCGAATGTGTTCGTTACTTCGCCTGTATGGCTTTTCAGTGTGAACGCAGCAGGCCATGCCTCATGCCCGCTCAACGTCCAAAAGGAAGAGAAGGAGTAGAAGGAGGAGGAGGAGGAGGAGAAGGAGAAAGATAATCGAGATAACCGAGGAGGATCGAGGAGCATTGAGAGGGTTCGAAGATGCTTCAGGAGGCCCCGTGTCAGTCAACCACAGGCGGTCCTGCTCCCGACGGCGGGCCAGGCCCGCAGCCACGCGCGGGAGCGCTGCGGAGCGGCGGCCGCCACCGCGGGCGCGGCGGCGTTGGCGGGGCTGGCGCTGCTCCGTGGGGGCGGGCCCCCGCCTTGCGGGGCAAAAGTTCCTTCTCTGCTCGTTCTTCGTCCTCCTCGTCGTCCTTTTTCTTCTCCTCGTCGTCCTCCTCGTCTTTGTCCGCGTCCGCCTCCTCCTCCTCCTCCTCCTCCTCGTCCTCCTCCTCTTCCTCTTTCTCTTTCTCTTCTTCCTCCTCCTCCTCCTCCTCCTCCTCCTCCTCCTCCTCCTCCTCGTCCTCCTATTCCTCCTCCCCCTCTTTCTCCTTCTCCTCCTCCTCCTCCTCCTCCTCCTCCTCCTCCTCCCCGTCCTCCTCCTCCATAACTTCTCCCTGTCGCACCCCGAGGCCGGTTTTTAGGGCGGGCCGGGCGTTTCGCCTGAGATTTCCTCACCATTCATGGCAATGAAGCCTTAAACGTGACAACAGTTTACAAATGGAGGGCAGGTCATTTTCAACATGTGTCTCTCGCCTTAGCGCCGCGCACGCTGGTTCCTTAAGAGATGCAAGAGCTTCACGGATTGAGGGCAGGTCGTTTTCAACATGTTGTTATCGATTTAGCGCCGTGCACATTCGTTTTAAACATATGCGAGAGTTTCACGGATTGGGGGCGGGTAGTTTTCAACATGTTGTTATCGATTTAGCGCCGTGCACATTCGTTACACTAATGGGAAAGAGCTTCACGGATTGAGGGGGCTTCTTTTTCAAAATGTGGCTCTCGCCGAACCGACGCGCACATTCGTTTTCAAGATTTGCAAGTGTTCCACGGACTTCCATCATCAGCGTACCAGAAATGGTATTTTAGACGGGTTCAGGATTGTGAGGGCGCAACAGTTACGTTGATTCGCGGTGTTGAGGTCCCAGGAATGGCGATATGGTACGATTCAGGATCGTCAAAACGAAACAGTCAGGTTGATCCGTGGCGTTGGAATACAGAGAGCAATGTTTTGACATGCTTCAGGGTCTTCAACGGTTGTCTTCCAACGAGGCAGTTCCCGCAGTGAATGTGAACCGTTGTAGGGGCCTATAAAGAGGGAGCTTGGAAGGAGGGTTCATTCCAACATCGTTGATGATTCTGGGTTTACACTTGTCCTCCTCTTCTTCTTCCTCCTCGTCCTCCTCCTCCTCCTTCTCCTCCTCCCACCCCCTCCTCCTTGTCCTCCTCCTCCTCCTCCTCCTCCTCCTCCTCCTTGTTCTCCTCCTTCTCCTTTCCTCTTCTTCTGTCTCCTCCTCCTCCTTCTCCTCCTCCTTCTCCTTCTCCTCCTCCTTCTTATCCCCATCACCTCCTCGTCCTCCTCCCTCCATCTTCTCTCCTTTCCTCCTTTCCTTCCTCCTCCTCCTGATTCCCGATGCCTGATGACTGGAAGCATCGTCGATCATAGCCCTCCTCCTCCTCCTCCTCGGTCGGTCGGTCGGTCGGTGACTAAGGGAATGAGTCTGGATCCCAGACGATATGTGAGACGAGAGCGGCAGCAAAGAGAAAAAGAAGCGGAGGCAGCGATCGCGGTAGCGTGCAATCTCCTCCTCCTCCTCCTCCTCCTCCTCCTCCTCCTCCTCTTCGCCGCCGCGCAGGCGCGCAGGAGCGACGGGCGGCCAGCAGGGAAGGGCGGCCGGCCTCCCGCCGGGCACCGCGCGGGCAGGCAGCGCGCGGTGGTCGGCCCGCCGGCGAGTGGGCTGCGCGCGTGCCGGGGTGCAGCCCGATGTTCGCGACGGGGGGCCGATTCCGGCGGCGAGCGGGGGGGGGGCGAGATAGAGGAGGCCTTCTCCGAAGGCGTCGGTGCTTCTCAGGAGCGCCCCTGCCTTCTGGGAAGTTGTTTGCGTCTTCGGGGAAGGCTTCGGTCACCTTTTAGAAGGCCGGGGGGCTTCCGAGCCTCCTGGGAAGGCCCGCCCTTTCTCACTTCCTCCAGGGTTTGCCGCCGACGACTGCAAGATATCGTTCAGAGCTCTGCAAACATTGATTTCATGCTGCTGGTAGGAACACAGCTGTGCCACAGGAGGGCTGAGGTGGTTCTGACTCGTCGGTTGAACCACAGGCTGATCTTGGAGGCAGAGGCCATGGTGGGACAGCGCTTTAATAAGGCAACGGGCTGCGCAGTAGGCTTGGGATCGAGATTCGAGGATACTCATGTTCGTCAAGTATGGGCTAGACCGAAGTATGCGGGAGGGAGAGCACTTGCAGTAAGGATAGGACGAGGCCCATTCGATGTGGCACCGATCGTGATGCACCTCCCGCCTCAACCTAGATACGCTTTGGAACTCCTTCGTTACCAGGCAACGGTTCATATGACTGGTGACTGGTGGGTGGTATGGTAATTTGTTTCAGAGTCTGCAGCGTCGTTGCATACAGCTGGCGAGCGTGCACCAAAACGACGGGCAACGAATTTCCCGCCACGGCAGAAGTCGGACCATACTGGAGACGGGAACAGAGGGGGAGGGACGATGCCGAAAGCAACGGCGCGCAGGCAAAGTCGATCGACATATTAGCC